AAACAAACAAACAAAAAAAGAGATAAGGCGTGGAAAATGGGATGAAGAAGTAATACATTGGTAGACAAAATCCAAATATATTAATTTAATATGATCACACTGTAATTATATCACCTAACATCAAAATTACATTTATAATTATAATCATGTTGCAATAACTTTAATACAAGTACAATAAAATTAATATTTAATACTAAGAATTTATACTAAAAAAATAGATTGTCCCAAAATAATGTAACACGACCCAACAGTATGCTGCCTAAAGAAACTCACTTCAAGTAAAATGATAAAGGTAGCTCAAACGTAAAGGAGAAAGATACACCATGTAAACACCAATCAAATGAAAGTCAGTGTGTCTACACAACTCAGGAAAGAAATTACCATGAAAGATATGTTTCTACTAGTTTTCTTGCAATTCTGCTTGAGGACACTACATTACACATACTTGTCTGGTCTCTTTAGCTTTCTCTGGCCTAAGGGTTATTCAGACTTAACGGTTTTTTTGTTTGTTTGATTTTGTTTTTTCGCTATACTGCGAATTGAACCCAGGGACTCACACATGCTAGGCAAACACTATACTACTAAGCTATATCTCTATCCACAAATACAAGATTCTAAATGGATACATGACTAACAACAAAGCCTCAAAATACATGAAACAAAAACAACTGAAAGTGAGACTAGGAAAAACTCATAATTATTGTTGGAGACATCCACACTTCTCTCAGTAGTACAATAATAGGACTGGATATAAAATACTAGTAAAGATACAGAAAAAAATGAGTGCCATCAACCAACTAAATCAAGTGTTTATTAGAAAACTGTCATACCAACAGCACACATTATTTTCATTGTACATGGGCTATTCACAGATAGACCATATCCTAGGTTGGTGATGGCAAACCTTTTAGAACTTTCAACAACAGCAGGTTGTGACACTCATGTCATAGGTTCATCACCACTGTGCTAGCTCACTTAAAAATGTAATAAATTAAAAAGAACTGAAACCATTAAAAATATATTCTCTAACTATAATGTAATTAAATGAGAAATGAATAGAAGAAAATTAACAGGAAAAAAATCTCCAAACACTTGGAAAGTAAACATGTTTCTAAATAAACCACAGACAAAAGAATAAGACTCAAAGCCGAGCGTGGTGGCACATGCCTGTAATTTCAGTGCTCAGAGGCTGCGGCAGGAAGACTGCTGCGAATCAGAGGCCAGCATAGGCTACAAAGTGAGTTTAAAACCAGCCTGAACTGCATAGTGAGATCTTTCTCAAAAAGATAAATAAATAAAAAATAAATTTATTAGCAAAATACATAAAATAAAAATAAAACTACAATTTTTTTAAAAATGAGGTGCTATTTTTCCCAGATTCACCTTCAACTTCAACTTGTGATCCTTTTGCCCTCAGCCTCCCACACAGACAGGATTAGAGGCATACACCTCTGTCCTCCACAAAAAAATCAAGGTTAAAACCAAAAAAAAAACACAAACAAACAAACAAAAAAACCAAAAAAACCCTACCAGATGATGATTTGATTTCCAAGTCTGCAGAAAGGAAAAGCAGGTTATCTGACCCTGCATCACTTGTCAATTCTGTGGACACAAACTTAAGAGTATACAGTCACTCTAGAACTCTGGTTCCTTTTCCATTCACCCCTCCCAAATCTTGTAAGCACTTAAAGGAGAAAAGATACTATTTCAATTTGTTCATCTTAAATTCTGCTTTGTAAAAAAGTAAAGAAACAAGAAAATCACATACTTACTTTTCATTAATTTTTCTGATAATTCTTTGAGTGGAGAAGAGGGACTGTTTCTACTGGCTATTGTTAGTCTGGAAGAAGATTCTTGAGTCTCCATGGAAGCTGGATGAGTTCCTGCTCTAGCCATTTCAAGATGGAAAGAATGGGTACTGTCACATTCTTGGGAAAGTAGCAAGTATTTCTGACTGCTGTTAGTTCTATTATTCCGGTCGATTCCTTCTGACTGAGTCATAAGCAACTTGGCTGGACAAGAATCCTCCAATCTCTTGTCAAGGGACTCAGTTATAAAAGATGCTGTAATTTCGTGCTTTTTAGATGGGGAGACAGGCTCAGCTAGCGAGCTCTGCTTCACTGTGTTCAGACTGTGTGCTCTTATTCGGGACCAAGTTGTAGAGTGAAAACTCTCAGCCTCTAACCAAAATTTAACCAAGTGTTCCATTCTCCGAAGTTCCATGAATTGAATGAAATACGGGAGGACAACAGTGTCACGCAAGACCTGTTCAAGGGTTTTTGAAAGACTTGATTTGGTCTCTTGAGTCTGGTAGTCCAAACAAGATCTGCCTAAAAGAAGCAAAAGAATCAGAAATTTAGTCACAGTTTTAGACTAAAAGTAAGTCAGTCACCTTTAGCCACAGTGGTATCAGAGGTTTGGAACAAAGTTTATTTCCAGGCAATTAAAATTAATAAAGAACTGAAAATATTATAATTTTGGTTTCTATGCAAACAACTGCCCAAAACTTATTTAAATTACTAAAAAGTACTTTATTACTCAATCCTTGTATTTCCTTTAGAGGCAATTTAGACCATGTAATTCCTTAAAGGAAAAATCTTGTGATACTATTCCCAAAGAAAAAGGGCCACTACAAATACGAAAAAGTATTCAACCTCATTAAAAACCTAGAAGAAGCTTGGTATGGAGATGCACTCCTATAATCCCAGTGTTGGGAAGTTGAGATAGGAGAATCATCCAAGTTCAAGACTAGTCTGGATCACAGAGCCAGTTCAAGTCCACTCTGAACTGCATAGAAAGACCCTGTCTCAGAAACAAAATCAATCAATCAATCCAGAAAAGAGTAAATTAATACAAGATAACATTTTTGCCTATCAAACTAGAAGATGATTTTTCAAGAAAATAGTAAACAGGTATAGAGGCAACACTCGTGTACTGGCAATGAAAAAATAAATTGACAAAATCTTTATAGAGGAACATTCAGGCATACACAGAAAATCCTTAGCAAACTGTAATTTTCGATCTAATAACTACTTGTAGGTACTTATCCTGGAGAAAAACTGATCTATGGATATAGTTATATAAAGATCTTATTAAGTCTCAGCATTATTCATAACAGAATGAACAGTAGCTTTGGGATCTTATCTTAAAAAAAACAATAAAAGATATATTTATTTTAGCTAAATTTAGGTTATTATAACCACAAGCTATTAGAATAAACAAAAAAGTTTTGAGAAAATTTTGGCCTTCATATCAAGTCATAAACTGGGTCACTTTGATAAAATTAACTGAAGGTTTCACTGATTTTTTTCAAAGGGCTTTCCTTAATCCTTTGATATTCAAATCAACTTCTTTGAAGCATCTTATATGCCATCATCCTCAGTAACTGTCTTATTGCCAAGTGATGTCCATCTTTGACATCACTTCATGAATTTGAGGAAATCCTGGTTTTCTCAAGATTTACAATTTCTTCTAACTAAAGATTTCACTTCTTTTAATTATAAATTTACACACACTCATAAATATTTGTAGGGCTAGGAGTGTAACTCTATGGTAGAATACTTGCTCAGCTTGTGTGAGGCCCTGGGGTCTAGCCCCAGCACCACAAAAAAAAAAAGAGAGAGAGCTAAGGATCCCTTGAATCTTTAGTTTTCCACATGATAATATCTTTTCTTTTGGTACCAGGAATCAAACTCATGACTTCACACTTGCCAGGTAGGCACTATGCCTCTGAGCTAAATCCCCAGTCCCTACATGCTAACATCTTACAAGACTACAGCACAATATTATACCAAGATACTGACACCAGTAATACTTTTACTGGATTTCCTCAATTTTACTTCATATGTGTATATATGTAGTTCTATGCAATTTTATCATGTATACATATCTGTATCTACTGCCAAGATATAGCAAAGTTTCAGTACCACCAGGCAACCTCATGGTGCCTCTTTATAATCATACTCACCTTACCCCTTTCACCTCTGGAAAACACTAATTTGTTCTGCATTTCTCTACTTTTGTTATTTCAAGGATGTAAATACAAACAGAACCATGCTACACTGTAGGTACTGACTTTTGTCTCAGAATAATGCCCTTGAGATTCTTCCTTTTTATTCCTAAGGAGTATTTTAGGATATGAATGCACCAGTTCACTCACCTGCTAAAGGACATTCACTTTTTCACTAGTAAACTGACATATTCTTGTATTAAGTTTTTGTGTAAACATAAATTTTCATTTCTCCACAATAAATATCTAAAAGTGCAATTAATGAGTCATATGGTAACTTCACGTTTAGCTTTGTAAGAAGCTTCCAAGCTATTTTCTGAAGTGGCTATACCATTTTACATTCTAACCGGAAATGTGTCTAGCAAAAAAATTAGTGTTTTGTGATGAGTAAGCACTTTGTGATGAGTAAGTGCCTTGCTTGCAGTGTATTGCCATAGATAACCCAGGAAGACTGACATCCTCCCTGGCTTTGACTACACATAAATGTTAAGCAGAGAGATGCCAAAAGTAGGAAAAATTGCATTAAAATCAATTCATTCGTGGATTTTTTTATGACAATGTGACATGCAATTTTTGGGTATTTTTGTTATTGTTTCTATAGCACTGCAAATTGCACTCAGGGACTTCCCACTTAGCAACATCACACATCTTTAGTTTTTCCTTTGAAACGGGGTCTTACCAAATCAGTAAGTTGCCCAGGCTGGGCTCAAAACTGTAATCCTGCCTCAGCCTTCCAGAATGCTGGAATTATACCATCCACCCAGCTTTTTAAGTGAAGAAATCCGATTAACAAATACTCAAAAATCTTCTACATATGAGAGCTTATCATACACTATATTCAACCTACTCTTTTCACTTTTGCATGACTTTTAAATTTAATTTAATTAATTTACTTATTTATTTTGCTTTTTTGAGATAGGGTCTCACTATGTAGTTCACTATGTAGTTCTCATATTGAACTAACTATGTAGCCCAGGCTGGCCTTGAACTCTCAATGATCCTCCTGCCTCAGTCTCCAGGGTACTGGGATCACAGGCGAGCACCATCACACCCAGTTCTCTAAATGTCTTTTTAGACTTTTAAACAGCTATACTGTATTCTAGAGTGTGAGTACACCAAAGTTTGAATACTTCTCTATTAACATATACTTATATATTATTTCTCATTTTTTGCTATCACAAACAATAGTACTATAAATTGTCTTATACATACTTACATATACATCTTCATGCTTATGTATGGAGCATATCTGAGGGCTAAATCTTGGAAAGAGAATTGTTGTCCAATGGCACACACATACACAAACATACATGCACAAATATATTGTGTGTAGTACTGGGGACTGACCCCAGGGCCACCATTTACTAAGAAAGTACTTTATCACGGAGCTTTACCCCACACCTTTTTTACTCCTATGTTGAGACAGTCTTGCTAAACTCCCCAGGGTGGCCTCAAACTTGCAATCTTCCTACTTCAGCCTTCAGAGTAGCTGGAATTACAGACTTGTGCCACCACTCCTAGCTATATCTTGTATTTCAATAAATATTTTCAAATTGACTGCTTTCCAAAAAGTCTTCAATTTATATCATCATTAAATGGGACTGGCCATTTCCCTGAATATCTATGAACATCCAATTCATGAAATTTAAATATATGCTGATGTGTTTGAACTGTTTTAATTTGTATTTCTGTATTACTGAAGTGAAGCATCTTTTTCATATATTTTTAATTAGTGGTCAAATGTATTTCTTCTTTGGAAACTGCTCATTTTTCTCCTTGCCATGCTATATATTTTTTATTTATAGGAACATAATATAGTACCACCCATTTTACATAATGCTGTTCTTTTAGTTTAAGTATAGCTTTTCTAGTCCTTTCCAATAACATAGGTCAGTTTCCTATAACAGGAATTCCACATATTGTACTCATCTCCTTCTATTAGAAGTTAACAAAAAGTCACTTACCCAGGTCCCCAAAATGAGCAGCCTCCATGTGGCTTGGCTGCTTCTTAAGTGTTGCTGTCCTGCTGCTTGAAAAGGAGTCCATGTTGGCAGAAATGGCATTGATTGCAACATGACTTGGTCCTGCAGCCTCCAACAAGGCATGATTTTTAGTACTTTTTTGTGGGGAATGTACAGCAATTGAAGCTATAATTTTTCAAACAAAATGTTAAAATTAAACACAAAGTTAAGCACAATTTGGTAGTCAGAACTCTAAGAGGGTTTTAAGAAAACTTTAAAAATTAAACTTTGCAATAATTTGTTTAATCAGCACATAACAAAAACAACTAAGATAAAAGGTAATTCAAACAAACAGCAGAAAATTGCAAAGAAAATAGTATAATATTATTTTAAGCAAAAGTAGTGTACCAAAAAAATGAAACTTGAGAGAAAGAGAAATAGATCTTTCGAGAGCTTTGTCTCTTAACAGATACAAAGTACCAAAGCCAGATAGCATTTTGAAATATGGACCTTTTTCAATTCCTTAATCCTTATTTCCTTCAGGAGAAAAACTAAAACTGCACAATGCTTAGGAAGAAAAAAAAAAAAAACCCTCTGGAAAAATATTTCTCAGGATACTTACTTTTTAACTGAGTAACAAAATTTCTCCATCTAATAAAATATATTGATGATCAAAGCTCAAGCTGCCTAAAGATAAAGCACACTTAAAATTTACAAAATACAGATTGAGGATGTAGCTCAGAGGTAGTCTGCTTGCCTCACAAGGCTGAAGTAGACCCTGGGTTTTATCCCCTGCATCAGAAACAAAACCCTACAAAATGTATTTTTTTGGCCAGGCATAGTGGTGCACTCCTACAATCCCAGCACTCTGGGAGGTTAAAGAGAATCTAAAGTTTGAGCCCAACCTGGGCAATGTGGCAAGACTGTCTCAAAAAAATCAAAAAAGGGTGGGAATGTAGCTTAGTGGAAAGGCCCTGCATTCAATCCTCAATGCTGTCAATTTTTTTAATAGCCTGAAAAATATTAGCATTATCCTTTTCATTTCAGAATAAAGAATTTACTTACTACTGTGTTAATAGGAAAGAACTCAATATTATATTACTGTCAAAGCAACCCTATGTCACTACAGCCGAATTAAAATTCTACCTATCTTAATTATGTCACATAAGTATTGGCTTTTTTTTTGAGACAGGGTCTCACTGTAGTTCAGGGGGGCCTTGAACTCACAGCCATCCTCCTATCTCAGCCTCCTTTAGGGTTACAGCAGTGTGTGCCAACACACCCAATTTAATGACTTATAAAAGGATTTTTTTCCTTTCAGTATTAGGGACTGAACACAGAGCCTCACCGATGTTAGGCAAACACTCCCAGGAAGCTACAGCCCTTTTCTTATTTTTTATTTTGTGACAGTGTTTCCCTAACTATCCAGGCTAGTCTCCAACTTTTGATCCTCCTGCCTCAACTTCCCAAACAGCTGAGATTACAAAGGTGGGCCACCATGCCCAGCTGATGAAAACTTAAGAACGTCTTAGTCACTTTTCTGGTCACTGGGACAGAATACCCAACATCTACAACTTAAAGGTGGAGAGGTTTATTTGGCTCATGTTTCAGTTCACAGTTGGCAGGCTCTACAGCAGAGAGGCACAGCACAAGCTGGTGGAGGGAACCTGTTCACCTCACAGCATCCAGGAAGCAGAGATGCACTCTTCTAGGTCACATCCTCACCTCTTCCAAGCAGGCCCTGCATTCTCCTCACATCACATTTAGCTATACTGTTCCCATAATCCAAGTACCTTTCCAAGCCCCACCTTTGAGCACATGAGGCTTTGGGCAGACCTCCAGACAAACTGCAACGAAGACATTTCAGCTTAGTGCAATGCCATAACAAGCGGGATAGAAATTATACAACTCACTTACATTCCATGCTTCAAGATAAATAAGATAACTAAAGTTATCTCTCTTAGCACCCCTTCTAAGTGCTCTCAGCAAACGGTACCAAATGCAGAATCTGAGTAATACTAGAAGTAATTTTATGAAGGCTACTAGTACTGGTAACTCAATCTGTGGCTCTTAAGGGATGAGTTTATAGGCTAACGCATTTAAGAACATGAATATCCATATGTGTTTATGAGGTATTTAAACTTGCCAGCCACTCAATAAAAATGTTGAGAGTTAGGGCATAGAGAATAAATGCCTTCAAACTGTTTGTTCTTTTTTAGAAGAAAGCTTTGTTTTTATCTTCATGTTTAAGGGAACAAAATCACTTTAACAAGTTTATTTTTAAAAAGCTAGTTTTCTAATACAGACAAAAACAACAAATAAAATTCTATGGGAATTGTTTCTTAATTCAGTGTCTATAATAATGCCAAGCACAGTAGCACACACCTATAATCCCAGCACTCAGGAGGCTCAGGCAGGAGGATCATCATGAACTTGAGGCCAGCCTGGGCTACACAGTAAGTTTAAGGACAGTCTGAACTACATGGCAAGACTCTGTCTCAAAAAAAAAATAAATAAAGTCTACGATAATGTAAAATTCTAATACCTCATTTGTACAAAGCTTCCCTCACCCCTTCGCTTCTTTGTTAGAACCAGCATCTCACATTTCCCTGCTCCTTCCTGCAAGCCTACCTTACTTGGTCTCCCTAATTTCCTCCTCTATCTGTTTTTCTCCTTCTTCTACTACACCCTTATTAAACGCCTACTGATCATGGTCTCCTTCCTTGACTCCTCTTCTTCCTAAGGCTGTTGACTCTTTCTGATAGCACATTCAGGCCAGGCGTGGGGGCACAGCCCTGTAATCCCAGCACTTGGAAGGCTGAGGCAAGAGGACTGCTTGCAGTTAAGAGCCCAGCCTGGGCTACATGATGAGTTCAAGGCCAGCCTGAACTGCATAAAGAGACCTTGTCTCAAAAAAACGAAACAAAACAAAACTTAAAAACTTCAAAAAACATTCATTCTGAAACTTTCACTTATTGTTAAAACAATAGTTCCTGTTTTTAAACTATGAGCTCTTTTTCTCACTCCCTACCTCCCCAATAAACAACACAGGCCATGATTTGCTTGCAAAATAGGTAAAACTACAGTAACTGTTGATTAAAGGGGACAGTCTTACTCATGCCTCAGTGCGGACACTCTTAGCAGCATTTCCTATGCCACACCAATGTGGAACAGATGGAAAACACCTGACCTGCATCTCAGACGTGTCCTCTGACCTGGGACCCAGCATTGAGTCTCTAATTATTTATTACTTAGGCATTCCCACTTTGACTCTGCCGTCTTGAGCCCAACTTATTCAAATATCACAAATATTTTTACACCTTCTAATTTTCCTTTCTACTTTCCCTTTGTCCACTCCACCAGCCTCCAAATTTTAACCTCGTGGTCCCATTCTTATCTGTTACTTGCCAAAATCTGTTGTCTTTTTCTTCAAAATGTTTAGTTTCAACATTACACCCTTACTACAGGTCCTTCTGTACTATAAAAGAACTTCCAAGGCCTCCATCCCACATAACTCTTCCAGATTAACTTTTCATAAATACCATACATACACCACTGATGGTGTAGAGAAGAAATTGAAAATGCATGTGCAGCAATCCCAATGGTGAAGGTTACCCAAGCAGCAGTTTCAAAATGTTTAGTTTTGAAATGAATATCTGGAAGATAATGGCCATCACTTTGAGCACCTCTTGTAATTGTAGAGGCCAAAGGTAACTTGTACTAATCGCATGATTAACTTGTATTAATCTCAATAAATTTACTATTAAAATATTTATTACAAGTTTTTCTTTTCCTAAAGTCTGTGTATGTATATATTCTTTTGGTAGACTCTTTATACTCAAAGAAATAAAAGGCTATGGTGGTAAGGAGAAGAGAATCTTCTCTTTCATTCAAATTCATCTTGGTCGGGTGTGGTGGCACACGCCTGTAATCCCAGCACTTGGAAGGCTGAGACAGGAAGATCGCTGTGAGTTTGAGGTCAGCCTGGGCTACAAAGTGAGTTCAAGGCCTGCCTGAAATGCATAGCAAGACCCTGTCTCAAAAAGACAAAATAAACAAACGAACAAAAAAATTCATCTTTTAATGGTTTATATCAAGATGTCTTCCCAAAGTCTCATATGCTCATAGGGGGCGATTTGGGGAGGTGACTGGATCATGGGGGATGGGGGATGGATGAGTTTACAGCTAAATGTGATGTTGGGAGACGGTGGGTCTTTGAGGGCATGGCCTGGAAGCGTATCTCTCCCTCCCGCTTCCTTCATCTTTCTCTGCTTCCCACTGCCATGCTATGAGCTGTTTGTCTTCTGGCATACCCCTCTGCCATGCTGCCCTGCCTTACAGCCAGCTGACCATGGACTGAAACATCTACAAACTGTGAGCCTCCTCTAGCTTGTGGGTCGCAGGCACTGTGTCTCAGCGATGAGAAAGTAACTAACACACATTTTATTCTTCAACTTTTATACAGGGTAAGTTTCAGTCCCATGAAGTCTTCCCTCATTCGAACTCCTCACAATACTTCACTTCACTTGACTAATTCACCACTGGGTGTTTACTATGTTAGAACTAACAACAGAGAACCTTCTATACAGCAAGCATTCTTTTCTTTTCTTTTCTTTTCTTTTCTTTTTTTTGAGACAGGGTCTCACTATGCAGTTCAGGCAGGCCTTGAACTCACTTTGTAGCCCAGGCTGGCCTCAAACTCGCAGCGATCCTCCTGTCTCAGCCTCCCAAGTGCTGGGATTGATTACAGGCGTGATTACAGGCACCACCACAGCCGGCTACTATACTAGGCATTATACTGGTTTCTCTATATGCTTTTTTTGAGACATTGTGCCATTTCTCTCTCACAATAATCCTTCAAGACTCATATTCTTTTTTTTTTTTTTTTTGTCTTTTTATTAGAAGTGAAAACACAAATGCAAAGAAGTTAAATAAGGGGTTTAGGGTCTACCTCAGTGTTACAGCTCTTGCCTAGCATGTGTGAAGCCCTGGATTGGATCCCAGCCCTCCCGTAAAGTAAATATTTTGCCTTGTGAGCAATAAAGAACCAGTCCAACAGGCAGGATTTCAATCTAGGGCTGCAGGAGTCTCTTACCTTTAGTTGAAAACTCAGACTCTAAAATTACTATATGTGTAACATATGTAAATGTATGACCCATTCAACATAGTTAAACATATAATTTCCCAGCTTGGTTCTGTTAGGCAAGGGAGAATACAGCCACCAATCTTAAATCTCTCTTCTTCTCACATATTTTATCAAAAACAAAGCTCTATTCATTTTCCCTCCTAAGGCCGGGGATATAGCTCAGCAGCACAAGTGCCTGCCTGGCAAGCATGAGGTCCACGTTCAATTTTCTGTACAAAACAAAACAAAACATTTTCCCTCCTAATATTTGTCCAATCTGCTCAGACTTCTTTATTCCTATCATTATCAACCCACCCAAAATCATCTGTGGAATTAATTAATCTTCTCTACTATCAGTTTGTAAGTTCAAAAAAGGTAGAATCCAACTTTTGTTCACTGTTACAACTAGTTTTTGTCCAATACCTAGAAGAGGTATTCTAAAAGTAATAGCTATTATTTTTTACTTGATTTCCTACTATTCTGTGACTAACTTTGTCTTGGTAATCAATCTGCAAAACTCTTAGGAGCTGTTTCCTGTACTGCCTCTATATTTTCCTAAAGTTAAGTCAGTAATTGCTAGACAGAGATTAATGTACTGTTATCGAGACAGTATACCTGGATTTTTTTAGCATAGATTTTAAATTTAGAGATTAAGAAATTTGCTAGGCCAATTCCTTCATTCCACAAATGAAGAATATGAAGATAATAACTTGAGTCCCCAAGGTTACACTGTCAATAGCAAATTTTAGAGAAGATAGTTATTCTGTCTGAGACATCAAAGCTCCTTTTACTACAACAAGATCAAGTCTTCACAAGCTTCTGCTTGCTATGGGCTTTCAGCCTTATCAAAGCCAGTCAAACCTGAACTAATATGAAATGTAGTTGGTTTTACAGTATCAGAAGCAGACAACAAGGTTTCAAGGTAATTATTTTTTCCCTAATCTTGTAAATTTTGTAAAAAGTTATAATTAGTCTCTGACAAATTGAACATATAAATAATGCTGGCCACATAACAAACACTGGAAAGAAAAATCTAAATAGCAACCCATAGATTTTACTTAAAGTTATACTTACAAAATTTATAAGTACTTCCATCTACTTTTCCCATTCCAATCTCCATACAATGGACATAGTGAGGCAAAAACACAGCAGAGCCAGATGTGTGGTACATACCTGTGATCCCCACACTCAGGAGGCTGAGGCAAGAGGGTTACTAGCTTGGGCTACATAGTAAGTTTAAGAGCAGCCTGAATTAAAGAGGCCCTGTCTCTAAGTAAATAAATAAATGAATGAATGAATGAATAAAAACCCACAGCAGAGATTACAATGTAAATATAGCACACTGTAACCTATTAATAAGGATAATACATTGATGCCAAAAAGTACTACAAACACATTTTTTTGTCTTTTTTGAGACAGAGTCTCACTATGCAGTTTTTTTTTGTTTTGTTTTGGGTTTTTTGTTTGTTTTTTTTGGCTTTTTTTCCGGTACCAGGAATCGAACTCACAACCTTGCACTTGCCAGGCAGGCAATGTGCCACTGAGCTAAATCCCCAGCCCCTCGCTATGCAGTTCAGGCTGGTGTTGAGTTCACTTTGTAGCCCAGGCTAGTCTCAAACTCACAACTATCTTCCAGCCTCAGTCTCTTGAATGCTGGGATTATAGGCGTGCGCCACCACACCTGGCTCTATGAACATATTTTAAATTAAGGCCATTTATCCAAGGTAAAAAGGGTCAGGGATATAGCTCAGTGGCATAAGTGCTTGCTCGTCGAGCGCAAGGTCCTGTATTCCATTCCCAGTACCAAAAAAAAGAAAAAAAGAAAGTAATAAATGAAAACTATAATCATCCACATTTCTGAATAAACAGAAAACCAAGCCTTGTATACAGGAATGCTTTCTCTCAGTTGTCAGACTGCCCAGCTGAGTAGCCTTCATCTTTGCTTTATTGAATAAAGTCAATTAATCACTTTCAGAGATCAAATACATAATTAATGATGAGGTACTGGTTCACTGTAATCACCAAATCAGCCAAATGGTGTTTAGTAAAAGCCTATTATGTGTTAGCTGTTAAAGAATATACACATTAAAGACAGAAATAAATCACAATCAATCATAAATAGTTATAAAACAAAGCAGAAGATAACAGGATTAAAGAGTTTATGCTAAGCACTTTGCTAAGTGCCAAAATGCTAAGCAGTTTTTTGTTTGTTTGTTTTGAGACAGGGTCTCCCTTTGCAGTCCAAGCTGGCTTCGAACTCTGGTGATCCTCCTGCCTCAGCCTCTTGAGTGCTGGGATTACAGGTCTACATGCCCAGCTCATCACTTCTGAACACAATGAAATGTTAGCTAAACTCACCTTTACTGGACTTGACATCAGAAATCTTCTCTTGTTCTTTACCTTTCACTATAAAACAAAAAGGCATCATGACTAACTTTTGCAGCCAAAAAGAGCCTTCCTACATATTGTAATAATCAGAGGTTTATTCTGTTAGATAAGTACGCGAAGTTCCAGAATAACGGACTGTCTTAGAGGGGGGAAAAGAAAAGCACCCATCAAAGAAGGTTTCCCTAACAAAGTAACCTCTGAGCAGTAGTCCAAAAAAAAAAAAAAGTTGCAAGAGTACAAGGAGAAACAATACGGTCAAAACACCACTGTTTAAGTTCTGCTTGCCCCTTATTAGCCATGCAATCCTAGAAGTTACTTTATTTCACTGGGCTTAAATTTCTTTGATTGATAAAATTAGGTCGACAGTAAAACCTTATATGATGGCTTATGAAACAATATATACTGGCATCTGGCGACTAACTAGTGCAGTAAATTTAGGATAAATGTTAACTAATATTACCACAAACCATTCACTACACTTGGCTACTATAAGCATCATGAAAAAAAAAAAAGATTTTTTAGTGGTATATCTTACTTCTTTTGTATTTCCCTCGCAGCAATCAAATATAAACATTCCAAATTACAAACATTCTAAAATTCTAATTTAACTCAAGGTCTAATAAATTGTCTCAAAAATGATCATATCTTTCCTCTACTACACAAAATAGTGAAAATTATACTACAGACAAGTTAACAACATAACATCCAGGAAAGGAAGGTACATGGTAGCTTAAGCCAAGTGTAAACTCCATTATAGGATCTGACAGAAGACTACTTTTAAACCTCCTTACTTTTCCTGCTTTTCTTCCAACAGTAAACTCTCTTATCAAAAGCTTATCGAAATAAACCCTCAAACATGTGCAGCTCTTTACTTGTGCTCTCAAACATTAAAAGTTGAAGTGAAGTCTATCTACCAACCATTTGAGTGCCTAGCATGTGCCAGAGAGACCCAAGAAAAAATAGCAATCCTTGCCTTTAACAAGTCCATATTTAGCCAGTGACATGTGCCTTTAATCATAGCAACTCTGGAAGGCTAAGGTAGGAGAATTGCAAGTTTGAGCTCAATCTAGGGAATTTAGTGACTTAGTAAGACCCTGTCTCAAAAAATAAAAAGGGGTGGAGATGCAGCTCAGTGCAAAGGCCCTGGGTTCATTCCCCAATACTGAAAAAGAAAAAAAGAGAAAAAGAAGAGAACAGAATAGGACAGAACAGGACCTCTACATTAAGGGTATGGAGAAAATAAGTAAGATCATCTCATGAAAAAATAAGCAAGATCATCTCAGGTACTGATCACGGTTGTCAGGAAGATTAAAATAAGAAAATGTGGTACAGTGACTATTACCTGCATCCCTCTCAGCAGCATTTGCCAAGCAACTGCATCTCTCACTTGAAACATTAACCTGTCTTGTCTTCCCTGAACTCCACTCTTCTGGTTTTCTAGCTGCTCCTTCTCAGTTTACCCAATTGCTGACCTCTCTCTTCCTTCATCCACTGGGAGTTTTTCTGGAAAAGAATAGTTCTCTTTCCAGTACCTATACATGTATATTTCCTGAGCAATCTTCTCTAATCTTTTTTTGTTGTTTTGCTTTGTTTTTTGAGACAAGGTTTCACTGTGTAGTTCACTGTGGCCTTGAACTCACTATGTAGCCCAGGCTGACCTTGAACTCAAGGCAATCTTACTGCTTCAGTGGGGATCACAGGTGTACACCACCACACCTGGGTTCCCTAATCTTTTTTAAAATGTATTTTAAATTTTCAATGACACAGGAGTTAGACTTATTTGTGAGCTACAGAGTGACATTTCAGTACATATATATCATATGTAATTATCAGTCAAAGTTCCCCAATTTTAAGGCTTTCAGTAACATAGAAAAGCTATAAACTCCTAAATTTACATCCCCATCTACATCTTTTTTTAATCTCAGATTCACGTAGCTAGCCATCTACCTGCCTGAGAACGTATCACCTTTTTTCAAACCTACTTCTACCTCTTCTTCACTGTCTCTCATTAACTGACACCATCAACCACCAGATACTCAGGCCAAAAGTCTGGCATTCATCCTTAACACTGTCTCTCCCTTACAGGCCAAACAAAGAAAAATAACTGTTTCTATCACCAAAATATAACTTCACAAAAAACATTTACCGCAGCTCCACTTTTTCCACCCTCAAAACATTCTCCTATCAATTAGATCTGCTATGTTAACACTTCAAACAGAATTGCACATACCTAACCTATCAATACTAGAATTTCCTCTTTTTTTCCCTTAATACATGTAGCTTATTGATCCTATTGCACTTCCTCTTAGCCCAAATATAAGCTGTAATCTAAATGTTTTCCTGCCATGAGTGTTTTTAGACTACTACTGTAATAAATGTGAAAAAAATGGCATTGTTCTGTATATCTTTAAAATTACACAAATAAGGGGTTGGAGGTGTGCAGCTCCATGATATAACACTTGCCTCACATGCCTGAGACCCTGTGATCAAGCCCCAATGAAAAAAAAAGCTACAAATGCATATTTGACTTACCTTAGATGCAGTTCTGGGTCATTTATGTAGCTTTAGTCATTTTTATCTATTTAATCCCTTTATAAATATACATTTACGTACTTCCCTATCAATAAACATTTATTTCCTAATTTTCACTAACACTGATGTGCTGTACATTCTAGTACATTCTTCCTATGATATATGCAAGAATTTCTCTAGGACAAATCCTTAGTAATGAAATCACCAGGTAACAAGGTACATCTTTAATGAGAACAGTTGCACCAATTCATATAGTAATCATGCTTCAAATTCTCATCCTTGATATTTTTAATTTTTGCCAACTTAATAGCTTTGAAGTGTTATTTGATATTTTAAATTAATTGTTTCCTTTGAAGTTAAGCATCTTTTCACATTTATTCACCATTTAGGTTTCCTCTTTCATGATCTAGCCCTTCAGATTCTTTTACTTAATACTTGTAGAAACTCCACACATATTCTGGATACTCATCCTTTGTTGTATTACAAATATCCTAAGCATATTTTATTGTATAGAAGTTTTAATTTTAACATAATTGAATGTACATAATATAGGTTTTCCTGTGAGCTTGTGTGTGTGTGTGTGTGTGTGTGTGTGTGTGTGTGTATATACACATAGATACTTTCCTACCCCAAGATCAGATTTTTTTTTCCCCCTCCGTATGTTCTATGATTTCAAATTTTGCTTTTTCACATTTTGGGCTCTTGTCTACCTTGGTTTTATATTTGTATATCAGAGACTGGCATAATACATCCCATGGGCCAAATTTAGCTTATCAACAGTTTTTTTTACAAATGAACTCTTACTGTAACATTCATGCTCATTGGTTTATGTACTGTCTATGGCTATAAGGACAGAGTATAACAGATACTTTAAGGCCTGCAAAGCATGGAATACTGTATTTACTTTCTGACCCTCTACAGAAAAAAATTTGCTGACCCTAAATATAAATATATCAGGCAGTAGAAAAAAAAAAAAACTTTTTTTGCCAGATGGATAACCAGCATCATTTACTGCTTAATCCATTCTTTTCCAACTGACTAGGAACTCTTCTTTTTCATTCATACACCAAGTTCCCATACATACCTGGATTTGTTTCTGTGCATTTGTTCTGCAAATACACCAAAATAAAAAAATGGAAAAATGACAATCAAATGTAAGGCCACAGCAAAATGTGCTTCCTCAATCTTCAAAACACCAGCTCTCTCTTAACATTTAAGCTAAGACTTAAACGATACCTCCTCATAGGACTTCCTTAGTCACTCAATCTATAGAGAAATGGCTACCTGGACCAGAAGAGAGAAAGAGAAATTCAAAGGATGTACTAAAGCTTTTTTGACTTTTTGAGACAGGGTCTCTCTATGCAGTTCAGGCTGGCCTTGAACTCACTTTGTAGCCCAGGCTTGCCTGAAACTCGCAGCAATCCTCCTGCCTCAGCTTCCCAAGTGCCAGCAGTACTAAAGTTTTAGCCTGAGTAATTAAAAGCCAAAACCTTGATGAAGAGGTTTAGAAGGACTAAATCTGGAGTTGAATTTTAGATATTAAAAGTAAATTTATCAGACAGAGTTTAAAAATGGACCAATAGATATACCAGTTTGGATTTAGGAGAGCCAAGTTGGAAATACAATTTTTGGAGTCATACACACGTAAGTGGTATTTAAAGTCTGGCTAGGAGCCCTAATAAGACTGTCTCCAGCTTCTGCTCTTGCCACATCTAGTCTTCATAAAGCTGCTAGAATGATATTTTTAAAACATAAGGTCGGATCATTCTTTTTTAAAGCCTTTAAAATAATATTCTTTCTACATTTGAAGTAAACCTAACCACAGCCTATAAAGTCCTCAATCATCCGATCCTTGCTATCTTCCCAGGCCAGACAGTACAGCCTTCCTCCCTTCCTCAAAGTGCATTATGCTCCTCCTTCCTGCGCCCAAAGTGTTGGTCCTAACTCTCTCTAAATTACCTCCTGCTTAACACTAGCTTCGTTTCAATACAATTTGCTGAGTGCAATCTCTAACATCCAACCAAAATGTTTCTCAAATTATTCTTTCATTACACTTTGTTCAATTTCTAAGTTCATCCCCCACCACACACACACAATTTGTTTGCTTATTTGTCTGCCTGTGGCAGCCAACAATAAGCTCCACAGGTGCAGGCTTTGTCTTGACTGCTCAATCAAGCAGGCCTAGCACAGTGCCTGGGAGATTAGAGATGCTCAAAAGTATGTGCTGAATAACTAGGGAACAGTATGTTTTGCAAAAAAGAATTAGCCTCTTTTTTTTTTGGTCTTTTTGAGACAGGGTCTCACTGTGCAGTTCAGGCTGGCCTTGAGCTCACTTTCTAGCCCAGGCTGGCCTTGAAGTCTCAGTGCACCTCCTGCCTTAGCCTCCTGAGTACTGGGATTACAGACGTGCGCCACTACGCCCAGCTAGAAGCCTCATTATTAAAACGCTTTTTTTTTCCTTAAAAAAAAAAAAACCCAAGTACTTCGACACTGTCAAACTATATACAGTTAACTATAACCCTCTCTAGTTATTAACTATACTAAAAGTAATTATTAACAAGGCTTCCTACCATTTAACCAGTTTCATTCATTCATCATCTAACATCAGTTACTAAGACCCTGCCTTTACTGAAGAGGAATTCCTTAGCCAGTGTTAAATAGAGCTTTTAAGCATTCACTTGATTTTCAGCTGAGAAGACAGAAAAAGGTTAACTAGCCTGTCCAAGGTTACACAGTAACAGAGCTGTCATGTGAACCCATGCCTCTGATTTAGTGTTTTTTTCCAAAACCTGTTCCTGTCTAGCACACTTTCTCCGAAGCACAAGAATTGATAGGATAACAATTACCAGCCAAAGAGACTCACTTGCTCACTTTGGTTATGTATTTAAGGATATGCAACAACCTTCCCTGGAATCAAAACCATGCTGCCTCCACTTAAAAATGATCAGCTCTCTTACTACTGAAATACACACTGAAATACACATAAATCGTAGGCCGGGCATGGTGCTAGCCTGTAATCCCAGCACTCGGGAGGCTGAGGCAAGAAGATCGTTCGAGGACAGCCTGGGCTACAAAGTGAGCTCAAGACCAGCCTGAACTCCTTAGCGAGACCGTCTCAAAAAGGCAAAACAAAACAAAAAAACCACGTAACTCGTTTATAAAATTAAGGTTCCAGTAGTTAGGTTATTTACATACCATCAAAAGTAGTCTTCAACAGGAAACTTAGTAGTAAGTAATTTTATTTTAGGAACAACAGTACACTTTCTCCTTCCCCACCAAAAAAAGAGGAAACTGGAAAACAGTACAGTACTAGTTGAAGAAAACAATGTTTTCGTGTGCTGCTTTCAGATATTAAACCCTCAATATTCAGAAAAGTCACAGACTCCCATAAAGTACAAGTGATTTCCTTGATCCTGATCCACAGCACGTTTAAAAAAAAAAAAAAGAAGCCTGCAAAGCAGCTCCTAAGCAAACAAGCATTAACTTCTACGTGTCTCAGCCCACTTCTGCAGCAGCGCAACAATTCCCTCCCGCCCTCCCGCGCGGAGGCCGGCTCCCTCCGGCAGAGTCCCGGACACAGTGAGGCACGGGGGCGTCTGCTCGGAGGCAGGATCACGAGGGCCCGCCGTCGCCCTGGAGGGTGCCCTCACAGGCCCCCGACCCCCGACCCCGCCGCCCCGAGCCCGGCCTGGCCCCGCCGGCGCCCCTCGGCTACCTTTCCGCCGGAAGAAGGACATGGCAGGGCCCGGGTCCGGGCGGAGGGCGCGGGGGGACTGTCGCGGGGAGGGCCCGGCTCCCCTCATTCAGCAATTGGCTGGGACTTCCGGGTCCTCGGGAGTCGCCGCACTAGCCCAAAACGAGACCTTTCTTCCGGGTGTCAGCCCCGCCGCCTCCTCGGGACTCCAAAGCAGCTCCCGCCGCCATATTATCAACAAGCCGCCCGCCCGGAGTTCCGGTCCTTCCCCGCGCTAGGCTTCACGGGAGGCCGGCCGCCGGCCCCGCCCCCTCCCGTAGGTGCAGGGGCGTGCCCCGCGCCGCCCACGTGACCCTGTGCGCGCGCCCCTCGCGACCGGGTCAGGCACGTCTCAGTCCCCTGGAGCGAGCCTCCTGCGGTGCCGTGCTGTCGACCCACCCTGCGACACCGCGCCCCCCCGGAGGTGGAGCCCCCGCGGGGGCTGGATGGCGAAGGGGCTCAGTTGCGGCGCCCCTCCGGTGGCTCAGTGCAGTGTGAGCCTAGAAAGCATAGACCAGCCAACCTTGCCGGGCCTCGGTTGCGCAGTTTCGCTAAAAAGCGCCGGCCGGCTCCTGCAGCTTCACCTCGGATCCGCAGCCGCTGCTCTCCCAAGGGAGCAGCCCGCTCTGGCGCTGAGTGCGAGGTGAACCAGGCTCCTAATGGGGAATAGCAGGCGGAAGCTCCGTCCTTCGTGACCTCGGGAGCGAAAGGGGAGAAATGGGCTTCTTTTCCAAACGCGATCCCGCGAACGCTTAGTTTTGAAACGGGCAGCAACATAAAAGCATCGCTAGTGAATCGTCTTTCAGGTCTTGTTCAAATGCCGTTTTCCTGTGAATCTTCTGACCCTGCCACTAATCTCAAAGCAAAATGAATCAAGCCTCCCCGTCCTGGGCCCATCACCACCCAGTAAGAGTGCTCAGCCACTGGGTGGATGATAATTATAAACGTAGTTCTGGCCAGAGAAGGACCCAGAAAGGCAGTTAATTCAATAAATGTTCTCTGGGTTTTTTAGATCAATGAAGTCTTATCATGGAACAGACCAGGAAACATCTCTAGAAGAAACAACTTGATTAGTCAATGTGTCATTGTTAAGCCTATGACTAAAAGCTAGGGTCTTTTCACTATTACCAGGATAGGTTAATATACTTGCCTGTTTTGTTTGGGGACATGTCTGCAAGTGAATGAAAGATCCTCAAAGCTAACAGGCATTGAAAAGTTGCTACAGGCAGGTACTATGCTACACCCTCCAGATGAGTCGTCGTGGGACTAGGTGTTGGCGTGGTCACTACTGGGGTGTGTCTGAAGGAGTTCCTGAAGCTGAAATAAGGAACCAAATCCACCCTTTTATAGAATAAGTTTGCAAGTTCGCTGACTCCCATGAAAAAAAAAATTTTCAGGATTTGTAAAAAGCACAGGAAGGGCTTTATTAAACAAGTTAAAAAGCAAATAAGAGAGGCGCTTATTTTTTGGAAAAAGGAACATTAATGCTTCTGATGAGGGATAAAAACTCCAGGGTAAGGTGATCCACCTACCCCACTCCCATTCTACAGGGATGGGCCCGGTTTCTTTTGTTTTGTTTCTTTTCCTAACAGGTAATTTAAACATTCTCTGGGTTCTTTCAACCTGTTCCTTTATCTTAGGATCAGATTTCTGCTCCTCACTTTCTCAAGCCAATTTATGGACTTTCAGTATTCTGAGGAGTTTGTGGGGTGACAGGTCTGGAAGGAAAGGAGCCTGAATTTAACTAAGGGAGTGCTCTGTGGATCTCCTTGGGTAACTTTGACTAAGGCCTAAAAGTTGCAGTCTTCTTAAAAGTACAATTTTTAGTTACGATTTCCTGGTCTCTCTACCTAGCTTTTACTTCTCCTACCTCAATATGGAAGAAACTACGTGCACAAAAATAGTCATTGCCCAAGATCACAAGATAAGTAGAAGTGAAGCCTGGTTTTCAAAGTCAATCTTCCCTGGAGAAGAAGTGTCCAGTATGCTGGGCAGGAAAGACTAGCTGAGCTCTGGTGTCTGTCCTCAGTGGAGACTACAGGGCAGACCCTGAGTGCTGCCCGCCTGGAGTTGAAGGTGCCCCTGGAAACCAGTCTGCACTCTTGGGGGGTGGGGGGACCACATAGTGGTGTTTATGGCCAGTAAAACCACTGATCAAAAAGGAGATTGGCTGAAGTTAGAGACCAGCAGGCCTGGTGTTCGGTCTGAGTGGGATTTCTCTACCTGATGAGTCTAGGGGATAAGTGATTATTTAGGAAAGAGTCAAATCCGGGGGCCACACTGTTAGCAAGAACGTGCAGTGCCCTCCTTTCATTCCCTTCGGAGTCCAGTCCTTAATGGCGTTTGTTTTGTATTTGCTGACTGGTTAATTAGTTTGGGATGGGTGAGGCGCAGAGGAAGAGGCAGTTAGAGACACACCTTGAATATCTCCAAAAGGAGAGCAGTGCCAGTGGCATTGAGGGGAGAGGTTGCACCTAAGCATAGAATCAATATATAAGCAGTGTCTTACCCACATTCTACTACAGCTGCTGCCCTTGAGGTCGTTCTACCACAAATTCTGGAGTTGCTCTTTATTTTTATTTTATTTCATTTTTTGGTGCTTGGGATCAAACCTCAGGCCTCATACATGGTAAGTAGGCTCTGTACCACAGAACTGTGTCTCTGGCCCAGGAGTTGCCAGACAGGTGGGAATGCTGCAGTCTGCTAACAAGAGCTCTCATTATTTACTAAGTCCTTATGGTGGACCCTCAGTGTACTGAGCATTTTACAGTCAGAATCTCAATCTTTCACTCCTGCCCCAGCCTGTGGGTGCCATCATCGCCCACAGCTTACAGAGCATGGCCTTAGGCTCGGTGTAACTGACCAGAATTACAAGGCTTGTAAGAGAGACAGTATTTCAATTGCTGTTCTACTCCAGAGCCATATGCTTATAGTATTTCCTCCTGTCTTTCTGTTATGGTTTATGTCTGTGTGTCCCCCCCAAAGCCTGATGCGGTCATGGGGCAGGCTTTTAGAGTTTGATTAAGGGTGTGAGAGCTGCACCCACCCTGGGGTGGATAGTTTGCATATGTAAGGGAGAGGAAGAGAGTGATTGAGGCCATTCCTCCCCCATTCCGCCCTGGTGTACGCTGGTTGCTTTACCTGTGTTCTGCCACCCTGAGCTGTAGCTCTCTGCCATGTGCCACTCTGCCTTGTAATCTGCCAAGTCTGGACTGAAACCTCCACAAACTGTAAGCAAAATAAACCTTTCCTTCCTTCATTTTGGGCGTCAGGTATTTTGTCCCAGCAACAAGAAAAAAGTAACCAAGACACTTTCCCTCCACTTCCACCTACTCACCTATGCCATATATCCAGTGTTCCAGAATTGGGCATCTATTGGGCAGGGATAAGAGGATGACTGACATTTAGCAGCTCAGATGTTTAGGTGCCTTTTGAGTCACCCCATTGTTATGGGGAGGTGGTGGAAACTTTTAAGAGGTGGGGGGTCTTGTGAGAGAAAGTTAGGTCACTGAGGGCATGTCCTTAAAGGGGCTTTTGGGACCCCAGACCCTGCCTCTCTTTTGGCTTCCCTGCAGTCATGTGTTGAGCAGGCTATTTATTACCATTGAAAGCTCTAAAGAGTTGTCATCACTGTCCTAAGGCCCTCTAGCTAGAGGCAGAGAAGAAAGACAAAGACCTTTGGCCCATCTTGGAAGATCCTAACTCCAAACTAGGATATGCATGTGCCAGACCTGCTGGCATGACCTACAATAACCTTTCTTCACTGAAGCATATTAAAGTTTCATGCATATGGACTGCATCACCAATTATAAGAGAGTGAGTTATGGGAAAGATGTGCACAGTAGGCACAGCTGACATGATTCAGTACCCTGTCAATTATGTTATAGGGGACTGGGGTTATAGCTCAGTGGCACAGCACCTGCCAGGCAAGTGAGAGGCTGTGAGTTCGATTCCCAGTACCAAAAAAAAAAAATATGTTATCAATCATACTCTGAAAGACCCAGTGGGAGGCATCCTAGACCTGGAGTAACATTTCAAATTTTTAAACCCAATGCATTCAGTGCTCATGCCATTTTCCCCTCTGCCAGCACAAGCCCGTGCCTAATTAAAGTTTATTAAACTCTGAGCATACCATGGCCTAATTAAACTTTATTAAACTTCACTGCTTTTTCCTTATCCTTGTGTGCTATGTCCCATTCTTTGCCGGGCACAAGAACCTGGAAACCTGTTGGAGACTCCATCGCCCTGGCAACATCCCCTTTGTAGAAATCTATTATCTCAGAAAACAGAAAGTTAACATAACCATTAAAGTGTTTTTGTACTTAGGGAAGCTTTATATTAAGCATATTATCATTCAATCTTTTGAAATTTGATTACCCACATACACATAAAATTAAACATAACACAGACTTATAAAAATAAGCAGGACTATCCCAGTAGCCTGACTACCTGATTGTGACAAGTTAACACTCTGCACTTATGGCTTGCATCTAGATGTCTCCCCAAAACCTCATGTGCTCACAGGTGGGGCTTTTTAAAGGTGGCTGGATCTAGGGTGTGATACTGGATTATTCCATTAATGTGCTTATCATACTTCTGGATGTGGATAATGGGAAGGGCCACCCTAGGTGTGGGTGGCACCACTCAAAAGGCTTATAGTCTGGATGGGATAAAAGAGAAAGGGAGGTCTGCTGCTTGCTGCATCCTTCCTGCCCTACTATGGACTGTTTCTCTTCTGCCATGCCCTCCTGTCAAGTCATGCCCTCCTGTTGCTACCGTGGAGCCACCTGACTAGCGACTGAAACCTCTACAAACTTTGAGACAAAATTAACCTTTCCTTCTTTAACTTTGAGCATCAGATATTTTGTCTCCGCAATAGGAAAACTATCTAAGACACCCTGCCCTGCATTTCCAATTTAATCTGTTAGAGCTATGTAATTTACATGTGAAATTCACTTTTACCAGAGGGAATCCCTTTATGTTTGTAATTTTATGGGAATCCTCAAGGCTTTTTAATAGTGACTATACCCCATTGCTACAAATCAGTGAGGTGAAATTGGTAAGCTTATTAACTCGAAGCCAGTGAATAAAACTGATCTCCTATAACAGACACTTCTTACAAATTAATGAATAAGATTTTATGACTAATATTCTGACAAGAATATATTCTAGTTTTCTATAGCAGATATTCATAACCTCAAGGAAACATTTTTTAGTGTTTTTTTTGTTTGTTTGTTTGTTTGT